GCCGATACCGAAAAGGTAACTTTGCTCACCTTCTCTAAAGTTCTTTGTACATATGTACATATGTATATATGTACAGGTACATATGTACGATTACATTTAGTAAACTGTACTTAAGCTCTTAATTTATAGTTTTGTGCTGAAAAAAATTGCATAATTTTTATTACTATCAGCGGGGCGATTTACACAGATACTTAAGGGGTTACACCATCGAAATAATAGGTTAAATTTTGTTTTCCTGGCGCAGATATGAAGTTTATAAAAATATTTATTTCACATATGTATGTACATAAACTACATATCGACACATGAGTGTAAGATCGACGTATCTCGGCAGCCAGTTCGAAAACGCCCTATCTCAGAAAACTTTTCAAGAACGCCAGAACGCAGAATTTGGTTGAAGAGCGCCCTATCTCAGCACATTTTCAATAAATTTTCAGCTGAGATAGGGTGTTTTTCAATAAAATTTGTGAGGATTTTTTGTATAACGAAAGACTACTTTACTTCTCAAGTATCACTTTTTGGGAAGGGTAATTCTCCATAGTATTTCAAGGCTGATATTATTACACTGTAAGGAAAATTTCAAGTTTTAAATTACACAAAACAACGCCGAAACAAGCAGACTTAATTTTGGGTCTTAGATTACGGCCCCGATTTCGGTTTTTCTGAACCAGATCATTTTCGCAAGACATTTTCTTAACAGGGAAAAAATTTAAAAATATTTTTTTTTTAATTCTTTTGATTCGTGTTAAAACCTGTTATTTTGCCAAAAGTATCAAGCTATCAACGAAGAAAATTGATTGATAAATAAAGCTAAATGAAAATGCGTAATAATTTCTTTTTATGATATAAATATGGCTAGGAAAGAATGTTACTCATACGCCATGTATTTAGTATGAACTATGTATTAATGAAATATGAACTATTCTATATACATTTCTAACTACAGAAGTATTTTAGTTTTTGGAATGGGGAAGCGCTTAAAATAAGCTTAAAACTACGCGTACTATATACTGTTGGAAAAAAATATAGTATGCAAAAATACTATATTTTTTCAATTATACATATAAATATATTTCAGTCATTTGTAAGAAAGAAATGTTTTAAAATCGATGCCATTTATTCTAAAATATTAGTATTAAAATACATAAATAAAATAAAACAGATCGAAAATGGCAACATGTTTAAAAATACTTGGAAAGATTTACCAAATTTACTTAAATATATTTCGCGTATGCCCTCTATTTCTGCAACCTCGGCATTCACAGAAAGAGGTTTTTTTTTATTAAGATTTTGAAATAGTGAGATGAGAGAAATAAAGCAAATATCTCACCAATAAAAATTAACTTTTGATTTATATTAATTTAAATATTGATATGATATCAAAGAAATATATTTTTTTTTATATAGGAAATGCATAAGAAAGAAAAAAGATGTACACTTAAACAGCATTTTGACTTTTTCTCAAAGAAAATACTATATAAATATATTTTATGTGTACCAAATTTTTTCAAATTTTTTTTGAAAAAGTGCTATAAATTTCTTAGAAAATGTTGGCAACCAACTTAAAACTGGTAGAATTTTTCAAGCGAAAAAATATTAAATTTTTATTTTTTTTCAGGGTGGTGTGACCCCTTAAATCCTAAGTAATTATATCTATTGTGCTATAGCGTACTTTAATCTTCCTGTCTGTAGTCCTATTAGAAGCCGGCGTCTATTAGCTTTTCATCGGTTGCCAGTTTTCCTCTATGCTACTTATTTATTTGTATTCGTATTACTTGGTTTTGATTGCAGCAATGCTCTTTATAATTAGTGATGCTTACGCATATTTGTATTTAGCATAAACGTTTTATAACTTTGAGTTCGCTAAAATCCATTTTAATTGAATTTCGTAAATTGCTTAAACGTCCTTACTTTCCGAATTGGCTTGGTAATTTGTTAAATGATAATATTTAGCTGTAGAAAAAATACCGTCATTGTACGTCAATGAATTCAATGAACCTCTGTGGGCCTGCTCAGACGATCTGAAAAGACAAGTGTGTCGGGGCTCATTTAGTTAGCCAGTGGCACCAGCTTATTTATAACGGGTTATCCATCTAGCGCTTGGTAAAGTGCAGCCCTGCCATTTGACATTACTCATCAACATTGTAATTTTCTCAAATGTTTGCTATGTATTTCAAACTGCGAAGAGTTTTACGACCTAACAACGTATTAAAATTACTTGGCTGTATTTTCGTGCATTTGGCAGAAAATCTTCCTTGGTAATGTGGCCCATTTCACGCTCGGCGGCTATGTTAATAAGCAAAACTGGCCGTTGATAATTTCTCTAGTTTTGGTTCAAAAATAGGTTAAGTTAATACAAAATTAGCAACCGTAGTTGTCTTTCGAACGTATGTATGTAGTTAAATAAATAATATCTCTATTTTAAAGCTTGTGCTGTGGTTTTCTTTTTTTTTCTACTTCCAAAATTTTTTTTCGATATTTCTGATTCCTTTTGTGATGCATTTGAAAAAAAAAAATTTTTATAAGTTTAAATAACATAGTTGCTTATAGACAAGTTGAAATTGGAGGAGAAACCTTTTATAATCTTGTGTTAAAATGTTTGATTGAGATATTTGATTTTTCAACATTAAGTTTAAATCGAAACATGTATACATAGCGATAAATATATGTACATATTAGAAGTTTAAAGAAAATTTTATTACTATAGCAAATTTTGACGCGAAAATATTTGCTAGAATTTAAGTATGTATATAGATCTTTAACTGTCATATGTTTGACTTAAAAATTTGCGTTTTCTTTAAATTATAAAAATTATGAAAACTTGTTCCTTCAAAATTACTTACAAACAAGATAAGTAAGCGCTAATTCAATTGAATAGAAGCAATATGTAGTACAAATTGATTGATTCTCAAAAGTATTGATATAATTCATTTTGTCGTGAAAACATACCATTACCAACTAGTTTGTAGTGATTGCTTATTATTTGTTAATGAGAGACGAAAAGTAAATACAATACACTACAACTTGTGTAGTAAAAGCAGTGTACGAAAATAAACTATATTGTACGTTACTATTTCGTTTCGTTTATTACTTTAACAGTTCGGTACAATACGAAACAAAACGGCTGAGTTCACTTTGGCGATAGTACACTACAGTAGTTTAGTAGTTACAGACGAAACAACAAACGAAATGAATCGTGCAGGGAAAATATTTTTATGTATGTACATATATGCAATAAACAAATACAAAACGAATGGCTGCAATGAATAAAAAAAATAAAAATGTTTTTTAATTGAATTGGATATGAAAATTTACAGAAAAAATTATTTTTCACGTAATTGAAACGTTTGCATACATATAAAACGTACCCTATGGTACAATTGTCACAAACGAAAAGCAAACGTTTCTCGTTGGGGAAAATGACAGTGAATCTTACAATTTGTTTCTGACTATTTACAAAACTGTACAAAACCACAAATGATATGATGATCGATGAGCAAATGGGAATTGTTTTGTACAGTTTATTTTCGTACCCTGAGTAAAAGTACTATTCAAACAAAATTTTCATTATTATCGATTTCAATTTCGTATTTAGCACTTTTAATGGACTCTTTTTTATAAATTGAATGCTAAATAATTTTGAATCGCTTAAATATTTCTTTTTGTTTGTTTTTAAAACTCTGCCTAACTAGCACTACTCCTCATGCCATTTCCAAACCAAACTTAATCCTATCATAAAATCCCAATAAACACTAACTGCATGCATGTTGCAAAAATGAAGTTAACTCTTGAGCGTTTTACAAAACTTAAAAAAAAAAATAAGAAACCAAAAAAAATCAGACTTAGCTTTGTTTTCGCCTTTATTTATATATGTATATATCTATAGTAAATACATAAATATACAAGGGGTAGTAATTCAAAATCGTTGCCAACTTAGTTAATCATACATATATGTACTATAAGTGTGTATAATTTTTCTAACTTTTAATTTGTTCGTAAATCATAATATTTATCATTGCGAATAATTAACTAGAATTTATATTGTTTATTTTCTTTGCTAAATATTTCACAAATTAAAAATTGTCTAATACTGACTTCCAATCCACAGACCCAGTCCTATACGAATGCCATACAAGCGCTGATCAACAATACGAATGTCCGCGTTAAAATTGCTGATTTGGGAAATGCCTGCTATGATGTAAGTATTAAATTTGACGGCTATGTATAAGTACATCTTGCGACCATGGAAATGGATGCCTTGACACAAGAGCAGCTAAAATATGTTTAAAACTTTTTTAAAAGTTCATTGCATACTGGTTTCAGGCCTAATAAAGAAAAAATTAAAACCTTCAATTGGTTTAAGATCATTTTGAAAGTCATGGTAATTCTTCTATCCAACAGGACTAGTTTTCTCGAATTCTCTTGCTCAAACGCTAAAAAACACCATTACATTTATTTCGCTATCTCTTTGATTTTGCACTTTTTTTCAAAAATAAATCACTATGCGCCGTAATCGAGCGCCAAGTCCGGGGACAGGTCCAAATTATAAGTATAAAGTACTTCACACTGTATTTCTGCCAACGAAAATCGTTTTATAAAAACTTTGCCATTCGGAGGCGGAGTAATTCGCACACCACCAAATGAAGAGGCTCGGCCAAACAACTCGAAAAATACCCTTACTCTTCTGAAATTTATATTAGGGGAATCGAAAATTTTTAGGGTGTCGCTGGGGCATGTAGGAGTCTCTATCTGATGATTGATAATAAGTGTAATTTTGATAATGTGTAGTGAATCGTACTTCTAAAGTGGCCCTTATTATTAGAAAAAAAAGGCCAACAACCAACTTGATTCCTTCACTTTTAATTGAAATGATTAATGGTAGGCAGGCGCTTCGCTAAATCTAATTCGTTTTCTCAAGTAGTCACTTATAGAAAAATATTTGCAACAACCATTTCTTGTAATTATCCATCATTATTTCTTTAAACGAATTATTATATATTTTATTTTAACACCTTTCATAATATCCATTTCTTTACAGTACCACCATTTCACTGAAGACATACAAACGCGACAGTATCGCTCCATCGAGGTATTACTCGGCGCACCCTACAATTTCACCGCCGACATTTGGAGCACAGCTTGTCTCGCCTTCGAACTAGCGACCGGTGATTATCTCTTCGATCCACATGCTGGAGAAAACTACTCACGCGATGAAGATCATTTGGCGCACATTATTGAGCTATTAGGCACAATACCGCCGTCCGTAATATTTCGGGGCAAACACGGTCTCAAATATTTCACGAGTTATGGTAAGTGAACTATTTTATTTTTTTTTTCTTTGAAATCTGCAATCAAAAATAATATTTTTTCTTTAAATTAAAACTTTGCAGGCAGCTTAAGAAACATCACAAAATTGAAACCGTGGAGTCTATTGAATGTGCTGATCGAAAAGTACGATTGGGATCCAATTGAAGCAAAGAAATTTTCCGACTTCTTGCTGCCAATGTTGGAATACAATCCCGTGATACGCGCATCAGCGGCCGAATGCTTAAATCATCCTTGGCTTGAGCAGGAAGAGTTCGTTTAAAAAGCGGCCATATAAATACTTACATACATACGTTTCACAATGTTGACTGATTATAAAGCTGAAACGATATACATACTTACTACGCATACAAACGCACATGGCAAATGGGAGAAAATGCAATGCAATTAGAGAAGGAGGTGTGAAATTTAGCTGAAGACAGGGCCGAGAGAGACTTGTAGATTCTCACATTATTAATTAAGCGTTAAGAATTTACATACATACATAAATACAATACCAAAAACGATAAATTAAAGTGAAACTTATAGAGTAGGCATTAAATAATTTTTTAACATTTAAAGACAAAAGTGAAAATAATAACTAAATTAAATTAAATTTAAAAGCGTAGCATGCGATAAAGATATGAAAATTAAAAATATGACAACAATAAAAGAAAAGTTGATAGAAAAGAATTTAAGCATTGGTACTTAGTGGTAAATTAGTGGAAGCGTAAAAATCGCAGTTTGTTAAAGTAAGTTTTCTATGGGAGTATAAGTAAAAATTTAAAATTAGCATTAACATAATTATGAAGTAATTAAAAAAAATATAAAAACCAGGGACCGCAACGTTTACGATCTTTATAACAAAACCAATAATTTAACTGTTAAAATTCGATTTATATTTTTTTTGATAAATTTGGTCGTTATTTTATGATGTTTATTTTTGCGATCAAGAAAAATCGTTTTTTTTTTATTTTTGGCAAATTTTTTATCGTTATTTTTTATTTTCTTTTTTCAAATAAGAATAACCGTTTTTTAACCGACTTCCAAAAAAGGAGGAGGTTATCAGTTCGTCGGACTATTTTTTTATGTATGTTACCGCATAACTTTGGACCACGTCTACTGATATCGATAATTCTTTTTGCATCTGAAAGGTAGTATCTCAGAGGTGGTCCCATACTAATCTGGTTTAGATCCGATCATTGGATCATGAAATATATAAATATATTTCTTAAGAGAATTGAAGTCGCTTTTTCTTCTAAAAATTACTTGTTTTATCTATATTTTTTTGACGAATTTTCTATCGTTATATTTTATTTATTTTCAATCAAGATTTAAAAAAATTTTTTTTTTTTTTTTTTTTTTTTCGAACATATTACAACCGTCCCTTTCAGATTTACTTTTTTAGATCATAAGAGATTTACATTATTAGTTTATAACGGTTAAAAATGATAAAAAAATCCAGAAAATAATTATTTTTGATCGAAAAAACCAAATAACGATAAAATATCACCGAAAAAATAATAATCAAAACTTAGCGATTATTCTTCATCGAAGAAATAACAATCATAAAATAACGATTTTGCAATGTTCTAAAATAAAGAACTTGACTTCAACGGTTATTTTTGGTCCTTCAGAAAAACACATTTTAAATGAAAGACAATTGCAAAGAGGAAAATCCTGTAGCATACCCTAACGACTTACATGCATACATACCTACTTACATAAATACATATATGTATAATAAACATGCATACATACACTTACATACTTGCATATACATACAAACATTTACATAAATAAATCATTAAAAAAATTAACAAAAATATACATATCGCTCATTTATTACAAGATTGCCATAACTCAAAAAGAAAAATTAATTTTAGTATTTCATGTTATGGGCATTCTATAAGTTTTCCAAACCCCTTGAGGGAGCACAGATTGCACAGAAGAACCGGTTTTCGATTAGTAAAACTTTGCAAGCCATGCAATCCGTACACCGTGCAATGGTTTTGCAAGACTTAGAGAATACGCATACTGCTTACAAATTTCTTGCAAAATTATTGTGTAGTTTCCACTTAAGAAAACAAAAGCACCGCCTCTTTTCTTACACTTTTGAAGCAATGTTACACTGTAGTCGTGTCAGTTTTTTAGTAAACGAGCGATGTGTGTATACTTAGCATAAACTTCAAAGAATTTCGAAATCCGCGTATGACTAATTGACTGACTTATTTTTCATAAACAATTTAATGAGACCTTACAACTAACACTAGTTAAGGTTAATGAATAAATATAATAAATAACGAGTTAAGAAGAAAATAGACGTGTTTCATAAAAGGCAAAATACTTGCAAGCATGGAGAAATATTTTTTAATTACCTATAAAAAACGTACTTTTCACACATTTTGCTGCAAAAGAAACATCTGAACATCATTAGTAAAAGAACTGGCAATTTTACAAGCAGGCACTAGCGCAAATTTTGATGTTTGCGAATCAATTTAAAAAAAAAAATATAGGATGGGAATTATGCAAAAAAATATGCTAGTGAACACTAACACTAACAAATAACCATAAAACATTAATTAGAAATTGCCGTAAACATCGTGAAACAAAAACCAAAAAATTTCAACACACATGGAAAAATCCATTTTCTCGTGAAACTAGGGGTCAAATATTGTAAAACTGACATCAAAACTTTTTTAAAATGGCTTTAATATTTCAAGGATATGGTTATGAAAGTCCTGTTTTGAAAAAAACGTACCGCCAGAGTTCTATAGACTCCCATTATTGCAGTGTTTTCAATGGCTGAGATATATGCAATCGACATGGCGGCAAAGCACGATCAATGTAGCCGCATCTAAACTTGCCGTCGTTGTTGGCAGTCAAGCTGCTAGCAAAAGTTTGGGGTTTTCAACGACTAACTCGATATGCGTTAAGGAATCTGCACACCTGCAAGGTATCGTGCTCGATCTGGCCACGTCTCGACGAGCGATGAACACAGAGTAGATTAAGGCTTTTAATGCCAAATGTTAGGCTTCTCAGAGGAATACTAAAAAGGACACTGAACCATTGGCCACATGGCCGTCACGTTCGGAGCCTCGTATAACGATTTCAGCAGAAGCTGCAAAGACCAGCACTTGCTTCGCGAGTGTCCAGCACTTCGGGGAAAACGCCTCAAATTTCTTGAGGACCATTTTTTCGAGAGCCTGGATACCTTGGGGGAGGTTTCACTGTAGGAGGCAACTAGGATTCGTCAGAGAATCAAAATGGTTCAAAGACATGTAGTGATAGGCACTGGGTAACTCCCTGGGCATCGCAGTAGGCCTTTGAGGCCTCCGAGTAAACTCTTTGGAGAACTGCCTAACATAAGCTACTATATTTGACTGCTAGTTTTGCGAGTATACATATGTATATGTATGTAGTTTTTTTCTGTGTAAAATTTACTGTCGCACGGTGAAATTTAAAATTCATTTGCTATGTATTACATACTACACTGATTCGCAGATTTAAATAAGGTAAAGCGATTCATTGATTTCATGAATGCATACTTGAAATTTTCGTAAAACTTTGAAATAAACTAAAGATTGTTTAAAAGCACACATATGGATAATGTATAAATCTAAAACATGTATTATATAAATCATTAAACAATTCAACATTAACTCTTCCACCTAAACTAATGAACGCCACCATGAAATATGTATGTATTTTGGTTTTTCGTCTCTTAATTGTGCACAAAATATTGTTGAAGCTTAACTAGGCACTTTAGTATTTAAATATAGCAGCTCAGTATCTACTCTTTTATATAATTTGTTTATTGACCTGACCTTAGCCGAAAATAATAGCAAAGAAGAGATGCAATTCGTTTACTGTTTTCAGCGCGCACCCACCCCACTTACAAATTATTTGTACAATTGGCAGCACCTTTCTATTTTAAACAAGCCGATGTTAGTTGCCGAGCATCCACCGGATTCTTCTCAATCCACTTTTAATTTATCGTCTTAAATTTTTTTAGTTTTTTTTTTATTGAAATAAAACTGTTTGACGCTTTTAGAGGGTTTTAAAGGAAAACTACTGGATCAAAACTTTTGGTTTCGTGGTTATAGAGAATATTACTCATTTCAATGTATAAAAATGTATAGTTTCGCACATCGAATAAACTTTGAATATTTCCGTTCGTAACTTAAGCATCGGACGCTTGTAGATATTCATAGCTAGGACGACTTTATAGCCCGCCAAAAAATAACTTGCAGGAGATCATTAATATAATCGATATCAAGGATTGATCTTCCGTGCACTGAGAATAGACACTACTCTCGACATGCTTCACAGGTAAGGAATAGGTACTTATTTATGTATAAGTGCAAAAAACTCTTAGAAGAGTGCATATAATAATAATAGATTGGCGCTTACATAATATAAATATTAGTGTTTGGCTTCTCCACCGATTTGTGGCTTGCTCTTTGATGTCGTCACACCAAGGGGAGGCGAGAAACTGTTTTACATGGCTGAATGCACTCGGAGGTTTGCCATCGCCTGCCGAGGGGCGACCGTTATTAGAAAAATATGACTTTTTTGGTTTTATTTTTTGATGTTGGTCGGAAATTGGGCTCCATCAACCCAGGCCCTACGGAATAATAGTACGCATTGCTAACCACTACACCCACAGTAGCCGCCGAAGAAGTGTGCATACACAGAGAAAAATATAATCTATAAAAACTAAAAGATTGTAGCCAGTGTTGCCATTTTGGTGCTTTTGGAGCTAGATTTAGCTCTTTACGCCCTAGCTCTTTTCAAAATTATCTAGCACTCTTTTATCTCCAGAAAGTTTAAGTTGTATTTGATAATATATATTAAAATTACAAGTCATTGTACAAATGTTGAAAAAAATTTGTTAAAATTTGTCTGGCTTTGTTGATCTCAGGCTATTTTCAATAGCTTCATGTTATTCAATTTCGACTAAGACTCAGAAAAGTTCCATTCGCAAGCAAATGGAAAACGGGCAAGTAAGTCAATTACCAGACAGTAATACGAGCTCGATAAACTCCGGCGGTATATTCTCACTCAGGTGGCCAAGATAGAAAAGGAAGCCAAAACTGAAGCGTTGATACAATTACAAATTTCGGAATGCAGTGGAAGAAGATACATTTGTAAATACAGCCGCCATCGACCATAGACTCTTGGATCTAGGTTAATGTGGATTTCGGTTTTACCTCACTAATTTTACCTTTAAGGACAGAAGCAAATAAAACTTTTCAGAAAAAGTTTGCGAAAAAGTGATTCGTAGCCCGTGTTTTAATGGTCTTTTCACGTATCTGAAATTGCAGATTTTAACAGTTTTTAAAGTATTTTTACTTCATTGTCTAGCTAAGTATAAGTATGAACATAAAAATAAGTGTTATAAGTGCCATAGCAACGAATTCGAAATATATGAAGCTTATTTTGGTTTTACAAGCTTTTCAGCAGTTAAATTTTTAAAACTCAATGTTTTTATTAAAATTGCGGAAATTTTAAAAAACAACTT